TCTGCCTCACTGATGTCTGACTCCGAAGGCAGCTGATAACTGTCCGATGGCCCTGGCCCCCTCTCTGCCTCCGACACAGAGCCCTCCTCCGAACCTCCCCCAGACTCCAGGACTGGCCCAGGTTCCTCCCCAACCTCCTGAACTGTCTGAACTCAGCTCCATTGGCCGCTGGCGGGCCACAACAAATATATCTGCTGAACAAAACTCCGCACTGGTGACAGGAAGGGCATCCAGCCATTAAAACACTCTGCTATCTCCCGTCAGTTAACCAGACTCCACCCTGCAAAGGATTAGGGGGTCGTTAAAATATGGATGATGATTTGTGGTTGCAAGTTAAGCACTTAATGCAATAGACACACGCCTCACAGCTTCCATGGACCTGATTTCCACGGAACAACAACATCCATTCTGCTGCCTCCAGCTTGATGCCGTATCTCGGGTTGTCACGTTGGACAGCCCCCCCCGCCCGCCCCCATGTTGACCCCCGTACCGGAATGAAGGGCTGTGGGGACTCGTGAATGGAGACGATGTGGGTGATCTCATTCTTGCTCAGCTGATCGAGATCTTTGGCATCTAGGAGGGAAGAAGGAGGAACACAGAGCGATTGTTTAGAGGCCTCCTTCCTTCCCCATTCTACGCAGATGCTCTCAGCGCACATCCAGCTGGAACGCCGACACACCAGCGCACCCAGCGTCCCACGTGCGCGGAGGCCTGGCAGCTGTGCCACATGCTCCACCCACTGGGACATCCTGAAGCAGGCATAAGAATAGCCGGGCCATAAGAATGGCATGGCATGGCATGGCATGGAACAGCATAGAGAGAATAGAATAGAAAATAGCATAGAAAAGAATAGAATAGAATAGAATAGAAATTGAAATAAATAGAATAGAGTAGAAATTGAAATAATTAGAATAGAAATTGAAATAAATAGAATAGAAAATGAAATAATAAAAATAGAATAGAATAGAAATCGAGATAAATAGAATAGAATAGAAATTGAAATAATAGAAATAGCGTAGAATAGAACAGGAATGAAATAAACAGAATAGAGTAGAAATTGAAATAATTAGAATAGAAATTGAAATAAATAGAATAGAAAATGAAATAATAAAAATAGAATAGAATAGAAATTGAGATAAATAGAATAGAATAGAAAATCAAGATGAATAGAATAGAGTAGAAATTGAAATAATAGGAATAGCGTAGAATAGAACAGGAATGAAATAAATAGAATAGAGTAGAAATTGAAATAATTAGAATAGAAATTGAAATAAATAGAATAGAAAATGAAATAATAAAAATAGAATAGAATAGAAATTGAGATAATAGAATAGAATAGAAAATTGAAATAAGTAGAATAGAATAGAAATCTAAATAAAATAGAATAGAAATTGAAATAATAAAAATAGAATAGAATAGAAATTGAGATAATAGAATAGAATAGAAAATTGAAATAAGTAGAATAGAATAGAAATCTAAATAGAATAGAATAGAAATTGAAATAATAGGAATAGAATAGAAATTGAAATAATAGGAATAGAATAGAAATTGAAATAATAGGAATAGAATAGAATGAAATAAATAGAATAGAAATTGAAATAATTAGAATAGAACAGAATAGAAATTGAAATAATTGGAATAGAATATAACAGAAATTGAATTAGAATAGAATAGATCAGAAATTGAAATAATTGGAATAGAATAGAAATGGAAATAATAAGAATAGAGTAGAATAGAAGCTGAAATAATTAGAATAGAATAGAACCGAATAGAATTTGGAATAACTAGAACAAAACAGAACAGAACAGAAAGAGAATGGAGCTGGAAGGGACCTTGGAGGTCTTCTAGTCTCCCGCTGGAGAACCTGTACCATTTCTGACGAGTGACTGTCCAGTCTTTTCTTAAATAAGCCCAAGGCTCCTTTGCCAAATCCTAATTCCGCGCCCTGTGCGTCATTTGATATCCACAAATCCGTCGATTCACATCTGCCAGATCAAACCTGTGGTTTATTTATTCCAGCTGTGGACTCAGTTTCCTTTCTGCTTTTCAGCTCAGCCTCTGGGAACCCTTTTCCTGCAAAAATATTTACAGGAAGCCCTCGACTTACAACCTTTCGCTTACTGACTGTTAGAAATTACAACGGCAGTGAAAAATAAGTGACCTAGAACAGTTTTTTCACGCTTACGACCGTTGCAGTTTCCCCGTGGTCACGTGATCAAAATTCAGACACTTAGCAACCGACTCATATTTATGACGGTTGCAATGCCCTGGCGTGTGGTCCTCGAGTTACAACCACACCTGAGTCCCAAATTTCCATTTGGCTGAGCAAGGCAGTTAAGTGAGTTTTGCCCCGTTTTGCGACCTTTCTTGCCACCGTTGTTAAGTGAATCGCTGCAGTTCTTAAGGTTGTTAAGTGAATCTGACTTCTCCATCTCCTCCCGCGTTCTTCTGAGAAACACAGTCGATGGAGAAGTCAGATTCACTTAACAACCTTTAGAACTGCAGCGATTCATTTAACAGCTGTGGCAAAAAAGGTCGTAAAACGGGACTTAGCTGCATGGCTTAGCAATGGAAATTTGGGACTCAGGTGTGGTTGTAACTCGAGAACCATTTCTAGACATGGTCACGCGGCTGAATCTGGGTTTCCCCCTTGATTTTGGACGTCAGAAGGTCACAAAATAGAATCACGGGGCACAGAAAACCGTCCTGAGTACCTGCCAGTTTCCCAACATCTGAATTTTGATGACACGATCACGGGGACGCTACAGCATGGATAAGTGGGAGAAATAGTCGTAAGCAGAGGTGAGTTACTTCTGGTTCGGCTCGGTTCAGCTGAACCGGTAGTGGTGATTCGGCCTGGGTGACAGAACCAGCATTGACTCAGGCTGGCCACGCCCCTGAACCAGTTCCCCGGTCTCTTCTGCCACTGGCGGCATGTTTCTGCACATGCGCAGAACAAATTAAAATCAATTATGCCAGGGGTGGCTTCCGGCTGCCACTACTGCCGGTTCACTCATGCGTGTGTTTGATGAGCGTTGCACGCGCATGCACAACACAACAAAAATGGCAGAAACAAGGTGGAGGCGCCTATGGAGCCGCCGAGAGAACTGGTTTCGGGGGCATGGCCAGTCTGGGTCACTGCTGGTTCCAGGGACCTGGGCCGCCAGGTTACTACCGGTTCGTCCGAACCGGTCTGAACCGGTAGGAACCCACCTCTGAATTACGCGTGCGTCACCAACACACAAAGCGAATTGGTACCAACCGGTACAGGAACCCACCCTTGGTCGTAAGTCACTTTTGTCAGCGGCGTTGTAACTTCGGACGGTCCCCAACTGAGCCGTTGTAAGTTGAGGACGACCTGCGTGTATTTCCCTGGGCTTTCAAAGCAGTGTCTGTGTGTGTGTTTGTGTATGATGTTCTTTAAGCGTTCTTAGAAGTCCAGCTAGTCTCCAGCTCCTTTTTCAGGCACGGCTGAACAGCTGGCATGACTCACTGGGGTATCATTGCCCCCCACCCTCCCCATGCACCCGCCCACCCAAAATGCACGCTGTGGCTGTTCTTTCCGGAGCACATGCTGAGGTCAGCAGGATTGCAAACAAGGGCTGCACGCAGCAGCTACTCCTGCGTAGACTGTGGGGAAGGCTCCGGGGTGGGGGTTGTTCTTCCTGTCACCCAACCCCCCCTCCTCCATGACTTGCCCCCCTCCCACCCCACCCCCCCATTTTAATCCTGGCCACAGCTCCAGGCATTTCTTTTATTGATTGGACTTTAAAATAAACATCCGGCCTTAATTTTAAATAACTAAAGGCAGAGAAATACGTCATACTCCTGGCCTCCCCTATTTTCCCCACAACCACAACCCTGTGAGGTGGGCTGGGCTGAAAGAGAGAGGGGGGGAGGGAGGGGGAGAATGAGAGGGGGGAGGGAGGGAGGGAGAGACCGAGTGACCTGTGGCTAAAGTGGAACTAGAACTCACTATCTCCTAGTGATTTGTTCAGCTGGCTTCTTTTTCTTTCTTTCTTTCTTTCTTTCTTTCTTTCTTTCTTTCTTTCTTTCTTTCTTTCTTTCTTTTTTTCTCTTTCTTTCTTTCTTTCTTTTTCTTTCTCATTCTTTATCTTTCTTTCTCACTTTCTCCTTCCTCCTCTTTTGTTCTTTTTCTTTCTCTCCCTCTCTCTCTCCTTACTTATCTTTTTTCTCTCTCTTTCTTTCTCTCTTTCTCCTCTTTCTCTCTCTCTCCCCATCCTTTCTTTCTTCTTCCCTCTTTTTCTTTCTTTCTTTCTTTCTTTTTTCTTCCTTCTTTCTTTCTCTCTCCCCCTCCCTCTCTCTTTCTTTTTCTTTCTTTCTTTCTCTCTATCCTTCTCTTTCTCTCTCTCTCTCCCTCCCTCTTTCTTTTTTTCGCATTCTTTTTCTTTCTTCTTCACTTTCTCCTTCCTTCTCTCTTTTTCCTTTCTTTCTCTCTCTCTCCTTACTTCTCTTTTTCTCTCTTCCTCCCTCTCTCTTTTTCTTTCTTTTTCCTTCTCTTTCCTTCTCTCTTTCTCTCCTTTCCCTTTCTATCTCTCCCTCCCTCCCATCCTTTGTTTCTTTCTTCTTCCTTCTGTTTTTCTTTCTTTCTTTCTCTTTCTCTCTTCCTTTTTCTTCTTTCTCTCTCTCTCTCTCTCCCTTTCTCTTTCTTCCTCTCCTTCCTTCTCTTTCTCTTTCTTTCTTTCCCATCGTTATTATTTTTACAAATAATTCGAGGCAGCAAATTATATCCAACACCCCCTCCTCCTCCTATTTTCCTCACAACAACAACTCTGCGAAGTGGGTTGCACTGAAAGAAAGAGAGAGAGGGAGGGAGGGAGGGAGGGAAGGAGAGAGAGTGGGAGGGAGGGAAGAACTGGCCCAAGTCACCCACCTAGCTTTCGTGCCTAAGGCAGGACTAGAACTCCCCATCTCTTGGTTCCAAGCCTGGCACCTTCACCACTAGACCAAGCCACCACATGGCAGGGGGAAGCTGCCAGGGGGCGCAGACGGATCTGCCCACTGGGCATGCCTTAAAATCTTGGCCAAGCTGAGAAAATGCCAACCCCCTCGAATCAGCTAGCTTGATTCATCGTCTCTGGGACAGGTTGACTTCACTTACCTACGATGTTCCCAAGGAAGAGGCCAGGAAGAATCTGTAAAAGTATTTTTTAAAATATATATATTAGTGTACATATTTTTATGAATCACACAACCCTGCAGCCTGGCCTGCAAAGCCCCAAATATATAAATATAAATATAAATAATATATATATTTAAAGTCACAACCCCTGGTATGCCCAAATATGGGAGGAAGCCTACTGCTTCCATTCTCTGTCTATCGGCTCGTCACAAGAGACCAT